ATCAAAATTTTACATAGGAATATATAGGAAAAATCTTTCAAAATCTTCTTCTCAAGAACCATTGAAACAGGAAAGATGAAACTCATGTGGAATCATCCTCAGGTAGTGTAGATTTAAGTTTGTTCAAGTCATGACCCCGGGGTAAGAGTGTGGCCAAAATGGCCGACCAAAGTTTTATATAGAAATATATAGGGAAACCTTTTTAAATCTTCTTTTCAAGTACTTCAAAGCCAGGAATAATATTTGTATGGAATCATCCTCAGGTAATGTAGATTCTAGTTCGTTCAAATTATGATCCCCTTGGGGGTTAAAATTCAACCCCCCAACTTAAATTAACTTTCAGTTCTGATCTGATATGTGTTTTTTCCTAGCTGATGTGCTCAGGTGAGCGCTGTGGCCCCTGGGCCTCTTGTTATCCATAGAGTTGAATTGCTGTAGATATTACCTTTTTTATCTTTGCCATTGGTTGGTTCTCTGACATCACATTGCGTTTTGGTGGTGGACCGTTGAGTGTCACACACTTGTTCACAGGCATGGCTCTGGGACACACTCGAGCTGCTGAAATAATCACCCCATTTCTTGTAAGGGAAAAATGTTGTGCTTTCCAAGTTTGTTTTCACTTTTCTGGCTCTTTCTATAAACAAAATAATTTTTGTTGATTTTTTATCTTTTTTGGCAAAATATAATGCTGCAGTCCTGGCTGCTAAGATGGAGATAGAATACCTTTTTTTGAAAGGGGTTGTCATGGTTAACAAGACTTCAATAGATTACCTGTTGGTGGGAACATGTGTGATCCTGGCTGCTGAGACTGGAATGGATGGTTGTGTTGATGGCGGTAGTGGCGATGGTGGTTGGGAGGGGTGTCTGAGATGAATTACCTGTTGGAGTTGTTCCTGACTGCTAGGACTGATATGAATAATTTGTAAGAGGAGGGGTTGTTCCTGTTTGCTAGGACTGATATGAATTACTTGTTAGAGGAGGGGCTTGCTCCTGACTGTTAAGACTTAGACGAATTACCTGTTGGGGTTGTTCCTGACTGCTAGGACTGATATGAATTACTTGTTAGAGGAGGGGGTTGTTCCTGACTGCTAAGACTTAGAAGAATTACCTGTTAGAGGAGGGGGTGGTCCTGTCTTCCTGACTGCTAGGACTGAGATGAATTACCTGTTGATATAGTGGTTTTCTTTCCTGTTATGGTGGCCATTTGTTTTGTAGGAGCCATTCCCCCAGTTGAATTTCTATAAGTCTGCTTTGTTCTGCCCATTTTGACTGGTATTCTCTCTTTTTTTTCCTTTACTTAGTCAGCTGTAACAAAAATACCTTTATTACACAAAGTAAAATAAACTACGTACCTTTATTCATAAGTAACCAATAATTTATCCAACATCTTTAGGTTGAAATATGCAGACTTTACGAGGTCAATTTAACAGAAATATACCTTTGGGTGGCAGACTTGCAACCAGTCTAGCAATTTATAATACTGAGGATTTTTAAATTTTACTGATCTAAGTATTCTTACTGAAGCAAAACTGGTTAATTCTGGATCTGTCTGGTTTTGATGATGTAATTACTATTTATAGATTTCAGTAATCTTGATCATCAATCCGCTTGTTTTTATAACGCGATAGATTTGAAGCATCTTGATGATAAAGACTAAGGTATCATGGGAAAAATTAATAAGATTTATTTTTAGAATAACCAGTTTTATCCTGTTTGGTTCACAATGGAGAGTTAGAATTTTATGGTATTTTTAATTGTTTTGTTGTTTGATTTCTTTAAAGTTACCTTGAATAAAATTTTGGAAGCATATATTGTTTTCTTGAACTAATATTTGTCCATATAGTAAAATGCAAGTAACATTCAAAATGGCTACCCTTCATTACCATGGAAACTGGATTGCAAGGACAAATATTTCATTCAACCTTTCAAGGCTTTTTCATGCTTGGTTTTTTTTTTTTAAAGAGAGGCTTTAGCATGTATTTTGAGGGGGCCGACTATAGTTTTATTGTGTGAAAACTACAATAGCGAAACTCTTCATTTTTATACCATATATAACTTACATTAACTTCAGTGTACATGCAGAGTTTGGGGAAAATCTACCATCCAGGTATTTTTGGGGGACCGTCTCAAGTATGCAAGTACATTTACTATAGGATTATATAGGAAAATGCCAATTTTTAGCACTTTAAAGCAAATAATACAAATACTGCAATAGACATTTTGTTCAAACTACAGTATTTGATGAGTAATACTGTATTATACAATATATGTAAGAAACGCAAAATTCAACCGAGGGGGCATCTCAAAATGCAAAAAATTAGCAAATTTTACTATTTTTATAGGGTGCTACAAAATATGACGTACACAATGGATTCACATGAAAACATAATAAAAATATTGGAGATATTCTCAAATTTCTGTGTTTTATATTTCAAGAGCATATATTTATTACTTTTTCTTTGATAATATTTTTATTACTCCTTTCTTTAAGAGCTACAGATTATCATAACGGCAAAAACACACTAAAACGACGTCAACCTACCTATCAATTGCAAAATCGGTTAAAAAATCAGTTATATCAAATTGTAATTACATTTTTATACCTATAACCTCTTAATTTTGTTTAATTTTAATAATTAAGCGAAAAAAGTTGCATTAAAACAGTAAATACGCTTCATTTTACTATGATGCGCGAAATATTGTGCAATGGAAACTATAGTCAGCCCCCTTAAAAGCAATTTGGTAATGTCTTTAAATGGCTCAAATGTGTTATCAAGGGATAATTTTTTTAAAATGCAGAATAACACAATATTGTGTGGATGACCTTATTATTTATTTTGAATTCAGTTGCCCTCAGAGTGGACTTTTATTTATTTCATATACAGATGTTTATATAGCATACAAGTCCCTGATAACAAGTAAATGTACTAGTAAGCTAATATTTACAAATTACCAGATTGGATACTTTATTTAAAGCATGTGTTCCCTTTAAAATTGAAAAGGTGAAGGTTAAATTTCACAATAAAATCAAGTATTTGATGAATGGCATATACCTATAGCTTTGCAATAATGATCGGGTTTACATGGAATTTAATGAACATCAATCTGGATATTTTAGAAACTCTGGGCAGTTTAAGTCTCTGTGTCAGGATGGTTTATTAAACTTATTATTACACTCCCTTTCTAAGAAGATCTAGGAAGAAAAACATAATAAACGGAAAATAAAAATCAAAGTACTGAAAGTACTGCTATGAGTTGATGGTATTGTTTGTATATATTTTAACATCCCTCTCGAGAACTTTTACTCGTATGACTAGACGCCACCACTTGCCAGTGGAGACCTATACTCAGCACTTTAGGGCCACTGAGCAGTGGGGGATCTTTTTTGTGCCAGCATCTATTGTAACACAGAACCTCGATTTATATGGTCTCATCCGAAGGAGCGGTCGCCACATCCCACAGTGGGATTTGAACGCACGATGAAAGAATAAACTCCTTACTTTGTGACTCTAGAGCAGATGCTTTAACCACTGCACCACACATGTGACTTGATGGTATTGTATATATAATGTGACATGAATTGAGGTTTTTGATCCATATTTGGGTTATGTGTGTTATGTACTATGATGAAAAAAAACAGCTTTTCACACAAATATCTCAAACTAAGAGAACCAATCTTTCACAATGTTACAAGTAGGGAATTATAACTTACAAAAAGTGCAAAATGGATTAAATCATTAATATGCACATGGAATATTTTCACTATTTTCTTAAATTGACAAATAATTTGTCATTTTCAGTGCACATCAATATGTTCCCTTTCTCGTGATTAAGCCACTCTTAAATTTCAAATCTATTTTCATTGATATGCATATTACATAATTAAATTCTTGATTTGGTTACAATGATTGTTATAAATGTGGAAATATTGACGATGTGCTAATTTTGACTATATTGGCGTTTTTTTTTTTCTCGCGTCAAACTTCACAATCATTAATTAGAACTGACATAGACAGTTATACAACTTTACTGCTTAATATCCCCCAGTCCCCCCCATTAAAACTATATCAAAGTTACTGGGGTTTTTTTTGGTTTGTATAAAATAGCTATGAAAACACATAGTCAATTTTTTTATTAAAAAGTATTGAATCTAGATAAGTATGTCATCTTGGTCTTTGCTTATAACATCGTGAACTTTCAGGACCCACTTCATTATAGGTTTTGTTGTCATGAAACTATTACAGGTTTTGTTGTCATGAAACTGGTACAGGTTTTGTTGTCATGAAACTGTTACAGGTTTTGTTGTCGTGGAACTGTTACAGGTCTTGTTGTCATGGAACTGTTACAGGTTTTGTTGTCATGAACCTTAAGTTTACATGTTTTGTTGTCATGAACTGTTTTCAAGGTTTTGTTGTCATAGAATTGTTGCAGGTTTTGTTGTCATGAGCTGTTACAGGTTTTGTTGTCATGGAACTGTTACAGGTTTTGTTGTCATGGACACTTTACTGGTTTTGTTGTCATCAACCTTTGCAGGTTTTTTTGCATGGAACTGTTACTGTTTTGTTGTCATGAACCTTTACAGGTTTTGTTGTCATGTAGCTGTTACTGGTTTTTATTGTCATGGAACTGTTACAGGTTTTGTTGTCATGGAACTGTTACTGGTTTTGTTGTCATGAACCTTTACAGGTTTTGTTGTCATGGACACTTTACTGGTTTTGTTGTCATGAATCTTTGCAGGTTTTGTTGTCATGGAACTGTTACTGTTTGGTTGTCATGAACTGTTACAGGTTTTGTTGTCATGGAACTGTTACTGGTTTTGTTGTCATGGAACTGTTACAGGTTTTTTTTGTGATGGAACTGTTACTGGTTTTGTTGTCATGAACCTTTACAGGTTTGGTTGTCATGAACCTTTACAGGTTTGGTTATCATGAACTGTTACAGGTTTTGTTGTCATGGAACTGTTATTATGTTATCCTTTATGTGAATCATTTCTTTTTTAGGTTCCCCATATGAAGGAAGTGATACTGATAGGATTTTACCAGCCAAATGATGCCTTAAACAAGTTCATCAGTAGTGTACAGCAAGAGTTCAAAATCCAAGTCAGGTAAACATAGACAAAGGGTACAGAAAACCATGTATTACATGTACAGATATGTAATATTCTCTTGTAGTAAAATAAGGAAATATCTAAAATTTTTGTAATCAATGTTTAATCTCACTTGTCATATGATTTTTCATTTACTTCCAATTTGTGTTTTCATATTAAGACAGAACTTATTTGCAGTGTATTGCAGTGTATTGTCAATTTGTGACTGGTAGAAATTTCAAGTTACATAGAAATGTGATTGAGAAAAATATATATTAAATGGATTAGAAATTTTGCTGATTTTTATTTATAACCACCAGGTAACTCTTGGTAGTAAGCCACTGAATTTTTCCTTTTTTACATCTTATTTATTGATTCTATAAGTAAATGCATGCAGAAAATTTGCATCTTACAGATATTTTTTTTTTTATTTAACAAATAAAATATATTTTCACAAGCAGACTGCTTCACATAATTTCATGAAAATAAGTTCAGACTATAATGAAAAGTGATTTCAGTATGACGTCTTACTATAGATTTGCCATATTTGTTTTATATGACATTAGATACCTCCAGGAGTACACAGCACTAGGGACAGCGGGAGGACTGTATCACTTCAGGGACCAGATCCTGGCGGGGAATCCCGACAGCTTCTTTGTGATGAACTCAGACGTGTGTGGGGACTTCCCTCTCAAGGAAATGTTATCCTTCACAGTTCAGAAAGGGGGTGGATCCCACTGTACAATACTGGGCACGGAGGTAAGATTGGGTCTCCTTATCAGAATTATGTGTACATGTATTAGTATTACATTGACATTTCTATTCACATAAATTTTGTTTTAAAAATATTGGCTTTTTCATGTTATATTTTTTATAAGGAGAATTATCTTCTTTTTTTTAAGGCAACAAGACAACAGTCCCTAAATTATGGCTGCATTGTTGAGAACAAAACTACTCATGAGGTATTGTTTGATAAGGATGTACATCAACTTTGCTCATCAGTTACATTTCAAAATTTTCTCTATACATGTCATGATATTAATAATTTGTTTGTCAAAATTATTTAAAAAAAAAAAAAAAAAGAAAATGATATCTCTTGCTGAAATTTAGTATTAATATTTAATGAATTTAATGAATACATTTATCATACCCCACGCAACTAGTTGCGTGAGGTATAATGTTTTTGACCAGTCCCGCAGTCCGTCAGAGTGTCAGAGTGTCAGTCCTTTTTTTTTTGTCAGCGCAACTCCTCATAAACCGCTGCACAGAATTTCGTCAAACATTGCAGGTATTTAGGACACAATGTGTAGATGTGCATATTACCAGGAAATTCTGATTCCATTATTTTTCCCGGGAATTTCCGCACTTTTTAACTTGGGCATTTGGCTATACCTTGAATATAGAGATGAACAGTTTGTCACTGCAACCCCTCATAAATCGTTGCACAGAATTTCGTCAAACTTTGCAGGTATTTAGGACACAATGTGTAGATGTGCATATTACCAGGAAATTCTGATTCCTTTATTTTTTCCGGGAATTTCCGCACTTTTTAACTTAGGCATTTGGCCATACCTTGAGTATAGAGATGAACAGTTTGTCAGCGCAACTCCTCATAAACCGCTGCACAGAATTTCGTCAAACTTTGCAGGTATTTAGAACACAATGTGTAGATGTGCATATTACCAGGAAATTCTGATTCCATTATTTTTCCCGGGAATTTCCGCACTTTTTATCTTAAGCATTTGGCCATACCTTGAATATAGAGATGAACAGTTTGTCAGCGCAACTCCTCATAAACCACTGCACAGAATTTCGTCAAACTTTGCAGATATTTAGGACACAATATATAGATGTGCATATTACCAGGAAATTCCTATTATGTTATTTTTTCCGGGAATTTATGCACTAAAAACTTAGGTTTAGGTCATACCTTTTATATAGAGATGAATAGTTTGTCAGCGCAACTCCTCATAAACCACTGCACAGAATTTCGTCAAACTTTACAGATATTTAGGACACAATGTGTAGATGTGCATATTACCAGGAAATTCCGATTCCTGTATTTTTTCTTAGAATTTCCGCACTTTTCAACTTAGATTTTTGGCCATGCCTTAAATATAGAGATGAGCATTTTGTCAGCGCAACTCCTCATAAACCGCTGCACAGATTTTCGTCAAACTTTTGAGATATTTTGGACACAGTGTGTAGATGTGCATATTACCAGGAAATTCCGATTCCTTTATTTTTCTGGGAATTTTGGCACTTTTCAAATTAGACTTTTGACCATACCTTGAATATAGAGATGAGCATTTTGTCAGCGCGACCCCTCATAAACCGCTGCACAGAATTTCGTCAGACTTTGCAGACATTTAGGACACAATGCATAGATGTGCATTTTACCAGGAAATTCCGATTCCATTATTTTTCTGGGAATTTCCGCACTTTTCAAATTAGATTTTTGGGGATATCTTGAATATAGTGATGAACAGTTTGTCAGCGCAACTCCTCATAAACCGCTGCACAGAATTTCATCAAACTTTGCAGATATTTAGGACACAATTTGTAGATGTGCATATTACCGGGAAATTCTGATTCTTTCATTTTTTCCGGGATTTTCAGCACTTTGAGTTTTGGGGGAGCATGGGGTATGTGAGCTTGCTCACTTTTTCTTTCATTTAAAATTTGTGCAGATTTAATTAAAGATTATGCATCAGCTTTGCTTTTTTTGTCATTAGACTACTGTTGATTACTGTAGGTTTTACATTACGTGGAAAAGCCAGAAACTTACATCAGTACCATCATTAACTGTGGTGTCTACTTGTTCTCCCCCGACATTTTCTGTACCCTGGAGAAGATCTTCAAGAAAAACCAGGAAGACAACTACAAGTAAGGGAGATAATCAGTAAATAAAGGGGAGATAATCACTGTAGCTTAGAGGATTTATATTTTAACTTGTACATACATTGTAACTACTAAATGTATACAAGTCTTTTGATTAGAATGAATAGAATATTTGAGCTATATTTTTCTTAATTTTTTAATAATGATCATAGCAGGAATATTTATTTGGATGAACTGGTTTTTAATGAATGCAAATTATTAAAATAAAGGAGTGAAAATTGCATTGATTAAATATTACATCCTAAACTTAATGTTCTGTAGTCTTTACAACATACAAAATCAACATTTAATATTAAGAAAACTTTTTTTATACAAAAGCATTAGCAGTCTCATACATAATGAAGAGGGGGAATTTAAACTCCTGAAGAGGGGGAATTTAAAATCCTTTTTGTTTTAATGACATTGGGGCATTATACATGTATCAACAGAATGCTGTAAGGTGACCTTGAATTTGTTCATTTTTTTCAAATGAGGTTTCACACGAAAGAAAAACACTTCTTTATCTCTCTTCTTCTGGGCACCATAAACATTAATTACTTCATAGTCCTGTAGTGTGTAGAATGAATGAATGATGCAGAATATGAATTATGGTACTTTCAGTTTCCAGACAGGAAGTGGGTGTTATTCTGGGTAATTGTGCATGATTTTGTTTGCTACATTTAAATTGCTTTGAAGAATGCCAATATGAAGTAAGTTAGGACTACCAATACAGAAATTGCACATTTTGTTTTTCTTGCCTTTATTTATGTTTGTGAATTAAACCTCCCAGAATTATTTTGAACTGAACATTTTGATTTGAGGTCTCATGAACGGGAGTAAGTATAAATTTCTTTGTCTTATAACCCTAATGGTCTTCTTGACTGTGTTCACATTGTTTGGAAAACAGGTTTAACCAACAATGTTTTAGAAATACTCAATATATCGTGGTGTTTGTGATTTGTAAAATTTTAAAAGGAGTAGATCATCATGATATGTTTTCTTAAAGTACATGTCTATCAGTGGATGTCTTTCATTGTTTATGATTCAGAGAAAGCATGCAAACATTGAATGGTGTAGGGGATAGTCTAACTGCATGCCATAGGGATTAAATCGTGCCCCATCTAGACACCTAGCCATTTCTGTTGTACAATGTTATATACTAATAAACAGGAAAACTATTCTTACTAGCTTTTAAAAATGACTGTAAAAATTGATCAGGTTCAATAAAAAATCTTTTTTCTTTTTTTTGCTTGAATTTGTTTATTAATAGCAGTCTTATACCCAATGGCTTAAACAGTCTTTAAGAATCTTTTCTGTGAATGATGATCTTTTCTTATAAGTCCTATTTTTTTGTGGAAGATGTTTAATCCTTTACCTATTTTGACAGCTATGACCCCAGCCTACAGTTGAATGAGAAGATCAGATTAGAGCAGGATATTTTTGTTCCCATGGCGGGCTCCGGGAAGTTGTATGTCTACCACACTGATAGATTCTGGAGCCAGATCAAAACCACAGGGTAAGGGGGCTACAGGAAATCTTAAAATAATAGATATGACTGGTACATTGAATACTTGCATACAAAAAAGAGAAATATATATAGCTGGAACCATATTAAAGCTATACATACAAATAATAAATATACCCGCTACTCTAATAAAGCTGTATACATCAGCAATCAATCATTCTATGGAATTTTTCTTTTTAATCCATTGATAGAAAATTGCCTAGATTCCTTAGATATGTTCTTTAAGTAAATAACCTGTATTCTGAGAGGTATGCATGTACAGTTATTTCTGTGGTATTGCATGGATGAGTTTAGCAGTTTCTGATGATTAAAAGTTCTACATGTGTATTGTCATGGCAGATTTGTTCCTTTAAATTCAGAGCTGCCATTTATGCAAACCGACATTACCTAGCTCTCTATCAGGACTGGCACAGAGAAAGGCTGGCTAGAAATGGGGAGCTGAAGCCCCAGATCATTGGAGACGTATACATCCACCCCACAGCCGACGTCCACCCAACAGCCGTGGTAAGGCCGCAGATTGTTAATGTATAAACACTGTGTTATCTGCAACAGCTGTGGTAAGGCCGCAGATTGTTAACAGATTAATGCTGTGTTATCTTATGTGTGCAGTTAATTAGAAAAAAAATTCACAAATGCTCAATACTTCCAATTTAAGCGCATTGAAAATACTTGAATTCCTTGTATTTGATTGATTAAGTTGGTTATTTTGATGTAATAAAAAAGGTGTTTATTTTTTTTGGAAAAGTAAATCACAAACATATAAGAGCAGATTACATAAAATGTTACCATTTATGACCACAATGTAATTGTGAAAATCTACGTTTTAAGTAGTGTTGGCAACGAGTACCCGGTTAACCGGTTAACCGTCGAACGATGCGAGTATCGGTTAGTAAAACTGCTATTCGGTTACTCGGATAAAATGCATCTTATATCGTAAATAACTAAAAAAAAATGTTAATTTGTTTATAAGCGTACAAATAAATATTTCTCTAATTTTCGGTTTCACTAATACGATTGATTGGTTTTCACACTAAATTGATAGCTTTGATTGCCAGCAGGGTATACAAGTTTGGAAGACCCAAGTTATAATTGCCTCATTAAATAATTTAACAAGATGCCGCCAAAGACATGTACATGTATAGCTTGGAAGTATTTTGAAAGAACAGCTGATTCCATACCTGTAAAATATAATTAATGTGAATTGGAGTTATCCTGACTTCAAATTTCTAAATTATTATTACCCTTGAGCGTGACATATATCGGGGGTTGAAAAGTAAAACTGATGAACGCCATTGTAAAATAGCGTGAAACGTTGAATATTTTTTTCTTCTATTTAATTATTAGCTCACCTGAGCTGAAAGCTCAAGTGAGCTTTTCTGATCACCCGGTGTCCGTCGTCCGTCCGTCCGTCCGTCTGTCTGTCCGTCCGTCCGTCCGTCTGTAAACTTTTCACATTTTCAACTTCTTCTCAAGAACCACTGGGCCAATTTTAACCAAACTTGGTACAAAGCATCCTTGGGTGAAGGGAAATTTAAATTGTTAAAATCAAGGGCCAAGACCCCTTCCAAGGGGAGATAATCAAGAAAATACGAAAATAGGGTGGGGTCATTAAAAAATCTTCTTCTCAAGAACCACTGGGCCAAAAAAGCTGAAATTCATGTGGAAGCATTCTGGGGTAGTGTAGATATTAAATTGTTAAAATCATGACCCCCGGGGGTAGGGCGGGGCCACAATAGGGAATCCAAGTTTTACATAGAAATATATAGAACAAATCTTTAAAAATCTTCTTCTCAAGAACCACTGGGCCTCAAAAGCTGAAACTTATATGGAAGCATCCTGGGGAAGTGTAGATATTAAATTGTAAAAATCAAGAACCCCGGGGGTAGGGCGGGGCCACAATAGGAAATCCAAGTTTTACATAGAAATATATAGAACAAATCTTTAAAAATCTTCTTCTCAAGAACCACTGGGCCAGAAAAGCTGAAACTTATGTGGAAGCATCCTTGGGTAGTGTAGATATTAAATTGTAAAAATCATGACCCCCGGGGGTAGGGCGGGGCCACAATAGGGAATCCAAGTTTTACATAGAAATATATAGAACAAATCTTTAAAAATCTTCTTTTCAAGAACCACTGGACCAGAAAAGCTTAAACTTATGTGGAAGCATCCTTGGGTAGTGTAGATATTAAATTGTAAAAATCATGACCCCCGGGGATAGGGCGGGGCCACAATAGGGAATCCAAGTTTTACATAGAAATATATAGAACAAATCTTTAAAAATCTTCTTCTCAAGAACCACTGGGCCAGAAAAGCTGAAACTTATGTGGAAGCATCCTTGGGTAGTGTAGATATTAAATTGTTAAAATCATGACCCCCGGGGGTATGGCGGGGCCACAATGGGGAATCCAAGTTTTACATAGAAATATATAGAACAAATCTTTAAAAATCTTCTTCTCAAGAACCACTGGGCCAGGAGAGCTGAAACATATGTGGGAGCATCCTTGGGTAGTGTAAATATTAAATTGTTAAAATCATGACCCCCGGGTGTAGGGCGGGGCCACAATAGGGTTTTACATAGAAATATATAGAACAAATCTTTAAAAATCTTCTTTTCAAGAACCACTGGGCCAGGAAAGCTGAAATTTATGTGGAAGCATCCTGGTGTAGTGTAGATATTAAACTGTAAAAATTATGACCCCCGAGGGTAGGGCGGGGCCACAATAGGGAATCCAAGTTTTACATAGAAATATATAGAACAAATCTTTGAAAATCTTCTTCTCAAGAACCACTTGGCCAGGAAAGCTGAAACTTATGTGGGAGCATCCTTGGGTAGTGTAGATATTAAATTGCTAAAATCATGACCCTTCGGCGTAGGGCGGGGCCACAATGGGGAATCCAAGTTTTACATAAAAATATATATAGAACAAATCTTTTAAAAAGATCTGCATCACCCAAGTTACTCAGGTGAGCGATGTGGCCCATGGGCCTCTTGTTTTTTTGATTATAATTATATTTAAGGAATGACTCTAATTCTTGGCCAAATTATTCGAGTATAATATGGTTTGGGTCAGTTTTAGCTTTATAATACGCGAATCGGATTATAAAAAAGCGTAAAATGAACCAAACCATATTATAATCGATAATCTGGCCAAGAATTAGAGTCATTCCTTATAATTTAATTTTAAAATAATTAAACAACTGGGGATGTAAAATTGTGTTGTTTTTATTAGTTCAAATTTACCGCGCAATAATACAACCGTAGTAACGGAAGTGATGGGAAGCAAGGGGAGGTAAAAACTATCTAGCAGCCATGATGCTTGTTTACATGAGGTAAGATCGAGCAACTGTTTGAAGTTAAAGGTACATTCATTAAATCTGGAATTTTTCATGAATCCGAAGGACTGGAAATGAGGGGATTGATGGATACAGATGATTCAGCTGGTTGTCAAGGGGGTGTGTCCCCATACCAAACCAGATTATACAAAATGTTATGCGTTCCTTTTTGGAAATCAACCAATGAGAGACAAGAATACAAACAGAATTAAATTATTTAAAATTCAAGATATTTCGTGCGTGTTCTTTTTAAGTTGATAAATAAAGTTAATTCACAATGCCTTTGTGTTTTATTAGAACCGATGAGTAAAAGATGAGATAAATGATACATATGAATAAATCATCCGAGTAACCGGGTACTCGATCGGAAGATTGAGCGAGTAACCGGTTACTAAAAATCGTCCGATTTGCCAACACTAGTTTTAAGGTTTATTGATACTCTGATAAGAGAGATAACTCTTTAACGACACAAATGTCTCATTACTTTATGAATTTTTTAAATTGAACAGTCTTTTTTGTTTGATTAAATAGTCATTTTAAAAGTAAGAAGTATTTATTTGCCACTTTCTAGACAAAAGTTTCTGAATACTCTAATGAAATCAATTTCTCCTAATTTGTTGATATTTTGATTTGTAGCTTGGTCCCAATGTTAGCGTAGGTAAACATGCAGTGATTGGAGAAGGTGTGAGGGTCAGGGAATCCATTGTTCTAGAGGGTGCTGTTCTACAGGTAAACTTTTAAGATATATTAAATGCTGTATGAAGCAATGTTCCAAGTACTAGTATTTAATACGTCTAAGGCTTTTAGTGTAATTTGGGATGGGTAATATCATTTATTGTAATCC